TGGCTATCCTCCAGTTGCCCCTCCAACCCCCGATGCCATCCTGCTCAGTGTCCTGGAAGGCTGACCTAAATGGATGGTAATACCAAGCACCTTTGCCTTCTGGCTTCGCATTGGGTTGGGCCAGCGGGGAGCCTTGGCAGGAAGCAGAAGGAAGGGAGGAGAGTGGGGTCAGCTTATTCTTCCCCTTGGATCCCTCCTTGCCGAGCTGCCTGCGTGGGTTCCAGCAGCCCTTACTCCTTGCCCCATGAAGCCTAGGGGAGGTAACAGCTCCCAGTTGTCATTAACCCTGTGGTACTTCCTTCCGCATCTCTTGTTCGCTTCTTGAAGCCCTGTTCACCCCTTTGTCTACAGTCCCTTAATTAAGCTCTTCTCAGCGACCCAGCTTGAGTGTGCCATCTCTTTCCTGCCAGGATCCTGACTGATACAAACATCTCAGGCTCCTTCAAGTTCCATCTCTTCTAACTCATTTTCTTCACCTCCTCCACCAAGTGCTTGAGTTCCAAGTGGGCGAAGACTTATTTTCACGAAGGGGGGCAGTGGGGAATGTATAGGGAATTTTGTGAATATTGTCTCATAATTTTTTGTCCCATATGAGACATTAATAGAGATAATATGGATACATTTTTATGTGCACCAAGAAAATCTATAAGGAGTGCTTAATCCTGGGGAGTCAGGGGTGGGGTCAAAAGGGGAAAAGGGGAAGGTAGGCTTTCACTTTTTTCGTCATGCACACTCTTGTATGGTTTTTTAATTGGAGAGTATTTTTCTTTATTTTTTTAAAGATTTATCTGAGAGAGAGAAGGAGGGGAGAGAGAGTGAAAATGGGGAGAGGTACAAAGGGAAAGAATCTTCAAGCAGACTCAACACTGAGCACGGAGCTGGGCTCAGGGCTTGAACTCACAACCCTGAGATCATGACCTGAGCTGAAACCAAGAGTGGGACACTTAACTGACTGAGCCACTCCATCACCCCTCTTGTATGATTTTTTTTAAGAGAGAAAGAGAGCACAGCAGCAGGGAGAGAGAGAATCTCAAGCAGGCTCCATGTCCAGCATGGAGCTGGGTGGAGCTAGTCAGAGCTGGACACAGTCTTGATGTCATGACACTGAGATCATGACCTGAGCCAATATCAAGAATTAGACACTTAACTGACTAAGCCACCCAGGAGCCCCTGATTTTTATTTCTATAGGCAGGTACTACTTCTGCCTCCAAAAAATGTATATTTATATATGTAAATTATATATTATGTATATTTATTATATATTAATATGAAATATATTAAAATATTTTAAATACAAATAAGATATAATTTACATATAATTTTTATATTTATAATTTTTTTTAAGATTTTATTCATTTATTTAATTGACAGGGAGAGAGAGAGAGAGAGACAGCATGAGAGGGAACACAAGCAGGGGGAGTGGAAGAGGAAGAAGCAGGCTTCCGGCTGAGCAGGGAGCCCGATGCGGGGCTCGATCCCAGAGCCCCGGGATCATGACCCGAGCTGAAGGCAGTCGCTTAACCAACTGAGCCACCCAGGCGCCCCTATAATTTTTTTTTAATGTTATGGAACAAATACAGATTCTAGGACCTTCCCCACAGGAACTCTGAGTCAATGGCTGTAGAGTGGGGTCCCAGGATGAGAACACATAATGCATTGGTGTAACCATTCTTGCAGAGCCACATTATACATTTGTGTACTTGTCCCACACGTGAGCCCCCCTTGATGATCCAGCCCAGGATCCGCTCAGCAGCACTTGAAACCTGACACTGAGCCCCAGCTCCTGGAGGATGGGGTGGCTTTTACCGACATACACCAGAGTGCCTTAAGACCAGGGGCAGCCCTCTCCTGCTTGTCTGGCTCTGTGCTGATTGGCTGCCACTCGGAGCTTTTGGCTGTTGCCTTCACTGCTTCTACTAGTCCTAAAACCTGAATTTGGAGCTTGAAGTAGGGCTACGCTGGTGACACTTGGATCTTGCCTATCCTCTTTCCTCACCCCATCCCAAAACCCTGCTTCAACCAATGCTGCTCAAATCCCCAATCTCTTGGCCTTGTTCTTTACTAGAACAGTTGTCTGCCCCCCTCCCCAGTTTTTCTGATCTTGCGCATTGCATCGTTCCCTGAGCCCCAGCTTAGAAACTCTAATCATTCTCTTGGACCTTCTCTTCAGTGTTTATATAGCTTCTTTGCCACTAACCCTGTTACCAAGAGCCATCTAATCTGAATTTAACTTGATTTTAATCTCTATTCATATCTAACCTTTTTTTTCCTTTGAGTAGCTTTCATTTAGAAATACATTAGAATGTTTTCTTATTTTTCTTGCCTTAATGGCCATGACATATGACATAACTAGGTCACCTCAGCCATTTCTACAACAACGGTCCCATCTGCCCCCCAACACTGACTCAACAACCTGACTTTTTAATAAGCCATTTTATCTTGAACCACATGTTATAATTTTAAAGTATTCATTGAAAATTGAATAAATAAATGTGTGTGTGTATCCCTTAAGATCTTTTACTGTACAATGAAATTTTTTAAGTGGTAAATACTACATACATGGCTCCCTCCAAATTCCCAAGGGTTTCTGAAGCAAACCCAGGTTCTGTTGTTTTTTATAGTGGTGCTCTCTGGAAGAGTTCTCCTAGACTCTCCCTAAAACAAAGGGGTGGGCAAGGAACCAATCACCTCTCCCCTAGTCGGTGACTCACCTGCAGAAGTTGCCTCATCAGTTCTGGAAGCTCAGACATCAACTAATGAACTGAGGCCCCATTCCCCTTTGGTTCAGCAGACTCGTATTCAATTCTCCCTCCCACTCAGAAGCAAGTTTTGGTTACTCATTAATTTTAAGGGGATTTCCTAAGAGACACCGAGAACGGTTTCCTGGTTATGTGGGTTGACAGCTATAGAAGCACTAACAAGGAAAGTCATAAAAATCTCTTCCTGGGAGTCTTTATGAAAAGCAAAATCAAACAGGTCTCATTGAGAAGCAGTAGGAGAAGGAGGTAAGAAACTTGAAGCAGGTGAGGTGTCATCTGATTCTATGATTGTGTAGTAACAGACAGACTGCTAATTTAAAATAAGAAGCAGCAATTGACAAGAGTTAGTGATTTCACATTCCATGGATGTTTTAAGCACAGATTTATGCTAACTGTATTCTCACCTTCTTCGAGCTTAATACAGTTTCTTCCTGAGTTTTGGTGCAGTATTCACCATTACAAATAGTGGAAGCTGAACTTGCAATTTCATATCTGATTGTGACTGATCTTCCTCTCCTGTGTAGTGCCAGGATTTTTGATGGGGGTAGAATGTAGGATGTGGCTTTTTATTACTCAAGTTCCCTTCTGTTCAATCTCCATCCCTCTTGTATAGGAGAGGATGAGGATGAGCACAGCTTGCCCACACCTCTTATTAAATCAAAACAGTCATCTTTGACACAAACATACTTTCCATGCCTAATTTACTATAGCAATCACGTGTTTTAACCAAATTGTTGCCATCACGGGAACACAACTGAACATAGCAACAGTCCTTATCTTTGCCTGTGAAGGCAGGCATTTTTTTATTCTTTTTTTTTTTTTTAAGATTTTATTTATTTATTTGACAGAGAGAGACACAGCGAGAGAGGGAACACAAGCAGGGGGAGTGGGAG